CTCCACTTGCAGCTGCTGGATGACCTTGGGCAAGCCATAGTTCTGTCAGAGCTCTCAAGGGCAGTTTCTGTCAGAGATCTCTCAGCCCCACCTACCTCACAGGGTGCCTGTTATGGGGAGGGGAAGGGAAAGGAGTTCGTAAGCCACTCTGAGTGAAGGGCGGGGTTTAAATCCAATCTCCTCCTCCTCCTCTTCTTCTGGATTGCCTATATTATCAGAGGACTCGCCAGAAATCCTTAGTTCTAACACAAAGGATGCTTTCACCTTGAACTTGCTCACTTTTCTCAACAAACGAATCTCTTGCGGAAGAGAGAGTTGTTGAGAGGTAACTCGGCCAGGAGTCTGACAAGTATAGATCTAAACCAGGGGTCCCCATGCCACATAATGGCTGCCCTGGGAGGTGGAGCCACACATTTATTTATTTATTATTATTTATTTATTAAATTCAACTTGTTAGACTGCCCTTCCCTTCAAGCAGGGCTCAGGGAAGCTTACAGCAAGAGCCAAACATGATGATATTCCATTAAATTGCATTTAAAAACTACTGAAACAGTATATTTCCAACAATATATTTCACACACAAAGGAAGCCCCAAGTGCTGGAGAGGAGTGAGATGAAAGCCAGCACTGTGGTAGCAGCCGCCACATTTCAGTCTGCCCAGCCGATTGAATCTCCAGTGGCCAGTCCGAAGTCCTGCTGGGCAGGTGTCCCACTGGCCATGCCCACGTTCTGAAAGCGCTTTGTGGGTACCAGGAAGGGTGTAGGCAGGCACCCTTGGGAACCCCTGATGTAAGTATTTATGTACGCCGGGTACAGTTGGAAAAGGAAGCAGTCTTTTTTTTCTGATTTGAAGAGTATTCCATTGTACACATCATGAGAGTTCTCGTCATCAAGGTACTGATTTGAAGAGTATTCCATTATTCACATCATGAGAGTTCTCGTCATCAAGGTATCTTTCGGGCTCAAGTGGTGCTTTATCCTACTTCTTGGGTTTTTTTCCCCTTGGGTAACTTGAACTAAATTTTTGTAACGCAGACTTGCTTTTGTTTTGCAGCAGCAGAAGCCGGTGCCTGTTACACTGGGGTGCCCTCTCTCCGACTGGCTTCTTGGAAGCAAACCCGAGAGTGCCTGTCTTACTCCGTATGTTCCCAGCAGCGACTCCAAGGACTGGCTTTTGAAACCACAGGGCCCAGAGCCCAGCCAGGTACAGCCTCTTAGCTGATTTCACTTAACCGGGGATTTAACCTAATCCGCTAACTTCTGCTGGGAAGTCGAGATGTTTCAGCAGTTGCCTTCGAACATCTGACGTGCAGGTGGGACTTGGTAACTGAAATCTGCTTTCCCCAGAAGGCAGTTCCTTGACAGAACTAAACGTTTGGCATCCGTTTGCTTTTTTGTGTGTGTGGTTAGGATTCCAAAGCTTCCAACACTCGTTACTTGGAGCAGGCGTGGGGAAATCTAAAAGACCTGGAGAATTGGCTCCTGCAGAACCAACGAAGAGATGTGCCCGAGAGAAGAGATTCCCGTCAGCGCAACAGTTCCACCTCCACCGTCAGCTCTTCCTTTTCCATCGAAAAGATAGACGAGTTGGAGTTCCTGGAGCCAGAAGAGATGGATCTCTCCGACTGGCTGCTCACTCCTTCCGAATCGGAAACCGCAAACAGGGCCTCGGAGGAGAAATGGAAGCACGCGTTCAAGCCTTTCGGGGAAGAGTACAAGACCAGCGATTGGCTCCTCGGAGCCAACTCCTGCAATAACTGCTGCGGCAACCAAGCCAAAGGCGTCGAGATAGAAAACCTTGGGAATCTTAAGTGCCTCACTGACCACCTAGAGGTGAAGAAGCCGTCCGCCGGCAGTGCCTGGCTCTTGCCGCCCTCCTTCAGGGTACAAGACGCATGCCGAGCGAATGAGCCGTGCTCTAGCTTTTCGGAGTGCGTGTGTGACGAAAACTGCGAGAAGGAAGCTCTGTGGAGGTGGCTCTTTAGGAAAGAAGGCAAAGATAAAAACGGCGTGCCGGTAGAACAGACCTCCAGCCCGACGGCCGAGACTGAAAAAAAGAAAACCGCTTACAACAACTGGCTGCACCCTTCCCGGCAACTGACAGAAGAAGAGCTGGCCGCTCCCACAGTGAACCGAGACAACTCGGAGAAGCTCGTAGAACCATGGAAAGAGATCCTCGGAACACCGTTGTCCACTTGGCTGCTCAACCCCGAGGTCAAAACATCGAGCGCAGAAGAGAAAGCGAGCCGGGAGAAAGCCGAAGTGAGTGGCAAGAACTCACTGCTGGAGCTTCTGGCGCCTTTCCACCTCCCTCTGAATGTAAACAGTTGGGTGTTGTCCGCGCGGAGCACAGAAGCCCCCGGCCAGCCTCCAGAGGAAGATAAATGGCTGCTACGGAAGAAGGCACAACACGTACGTACGAGCCCTTAATCACTGACTGCCCCTAATGTTTTTTCAAAGATTGTGGGATCACATAAAGTGTATTCAGTGGCACCTCTGGGGGTTCCTGAGAAATCCAGGTTGAGAACTGTGACACTCTTAGCATAACTTTGTATCGGGTCTGCTCAGGGATATGGGGTTAAGGTAGCGATCACTGTGCTTTGAGGATGCAGCTTAATGGGAGAAACTCTCTCACTCACCCTCCCCTTTTTTTTAACCCCTTTAGGATTACAGCCTTCCGGCAGTTTGTGATCTGTTTGCCTGCATGAAGCTGAATGGAGATCGAGAAAAATGGCTATATCAGACTCCTTTACAGGTAACCGTAAGACTCTATTCGTCGCGAACGTAACTTTTGAAAAACCCCTTCCCTTTATTTTTACACTGTTCAGTTCCAGGACTTCAAATAGGCTTCCGCAACTCTCATTTTGGTACCTCCGAGTCCTGCATAAGGCTGGTTCCTAAAACCTGGACAATGTATTCTTGGTTTCCTTGTAACTCCTTTTGTAATGTATTTGAAAACGCTTGGGGTTGGACTAGATGACCCTGGGGGTCCCTTCCAGCTCTGTGATTCTCCCTGGAACGTAAAACGACTAAAACTGAGGCTATCGTGCTTTGGTCTTGAAGCGATGAGAGTCGCCATAAAAGACATCCGTGCTAGGAAAAGTTGAAGGCAGCAAGAAAAAGGGGAAGACCGACAAGAGACAGATCGAGTCAGTCAAGGAAGCCATGCCTGTTTGCGTGCTAGGAAAAGTTGAAGGCGGCAAGAAAAAGAGGAAGACCGACAAGAGACGGATCCGAGTCAGTCAAGGAAGCCATGCCTGTTTGCAAGACCTGAGCAGAACTGTTAATGCCAGGACGTTTTGGAGGATGTTAAATTCATGGGGTCACCATAAGGCGGAAGGGACTTGAGGGCACTTAGCATGCACGCACCTGAAATAGTACATTAAATGTTTCCAAAAACCGGTAGGCAACCCTGCCCCCCCCCGAGCTGTAATATTCTTGTATACTTTCTGTGGACTAACGCTGACTGTTCTGGATTGTCGTCTGCAGATGTGAGAAGCCCGAAGAAGCATTCCAAACTAGTCACTTTCTGCTGATCAGCGCACATTTGATACCGAGTGATCGAAGCCTGCTGCATCTGTGTGTCTTGAGTGGTCTGCCCCTCCCGAACTTTAAACACCCACTTTAAAAGTTGTGTTGACTTGTAACCTACAAGTGCAAGACAAGGGTTCTCCCCCCCCCCCCCCCCCGCTTTTTTTGGCCCCGGGAGTCAGTTCCTATCACACCCAAGCAACACTGTCCTTCTATGCATCTCATGGGGTTTAATGATGTGAATATCCTTCCATGGGCTTGTCACTTGGATCCTCTTGCAGTTGTGGAAGTCGGTGCTTTTGAGAGCTCTTCCTGATAATTTGGACGACGCCTCTGGAACAATGACCTTTGTTTCCTGCCCCAGGGGGTTGGGGGAGAGCCATGTATGATTTAATCCTTAAGTCACCTCCAACTCTGCTCTTTCCTCCCCTGGGTCTCTGTTCTCATAGCTGGTTGGGGTTTGAGAAAAGAGTGGCTCTCATCGACGCTTTCCCGTTGTTGTAAATCACTGGTATGTCTAAGATCGATCTTTAAATAAGATCGCTGCATCTTACCTGAGATTTAGATTTCCCAGGTTGGGTATACTGATCAGTTGGAACATTCTAAGACTCTTGGCCGAGCCAGGGAAAAACGAAGAGCCTTGAGCCATTTGACAAACGATACATGAAGGACCTCCTAGCAAGCTTTGGTGCCATTACATCAGATGCTGATGAATTCTTTGTTTAGTATATAAACTCAGTGTGGGAAGATTTTTTTTTCTTAAATTGATCGTGAAGTAGATGAAAGCTGTCTAGTATATATCAGTTCTATAGTGCACATAAAGTTCAAGTGCAAAGTGTTAACTTTGCTATTCAGTAAAAAGTTGTATAAATTTAAGCACTTCTCGGATGAATTAGAGTTTGGACACGTTTAGAAGAAGTGACTGCCAAGTTTTCAGGGCCTGGAAAGGATGCCCTGTTTTTAGCACTGAATCTCAATACCACTTGCCTAGTCTTACTGGGTGGATAATAAACCTGGTTAAATGGGCACGGATTTAATGTTCCTGTCCAGCAGAAGTGCTTCTTGACCTGAATGGCTAAAAGTTACACAAGATCTATTCAGCATCAGACGTTTTTAAAGGATGTATATGGTTTTAAAAAATGGATAGTCTTACTAAATGGCGCAGATCTTGAATACAGCGTACTACTCAGATATTATAAAATCAGATAAACTGAAATGCACCCTTATTCTAAAGTTAATGGTATGTGAACTGAATCTTATGAGCCCTAACATCTTTCTTCACCCTCACCCTAAGATTTGTTACCACTAAGCCTTTTTTTTCATTAAACCATTGCTGTGAACTTAATAGTGTCTGTCTTTATAGTTGTTGTTGTTCAGTCGCACAGTCGAGTCCGACTCTTCGCGACCCCATGGACCAGATCACGCCAGTCCCTCCTGTCTTCCGCCGTCCTCTGAAGTTGGCTCAACTTCATGTTCATTGCATCTATGACACTGTCTAACCATCTCATCCTTTGCTGTCCCTGTCTTCTTTGACCTTCAGTCTTTCCCAGCATCAGGGTCTTCTCCAGTGAGTGCTCCCTTCTCATTTGGTGGCCAAAGTATTTGAGCTTCAGTTTCAGTATCTGGCCTTCCAGGGAACAGTCAGGGTTGATTTCTTTTAGGACTGACTGATTTAATCTTCTTGCAGTCCAAGGGACTCAAGAGCTCGAGATGGATAGCCCAGGCTAGCCTGATCTCATCAGGTCTTGGAAGCTAGAGCAGGGGCAGCGTTTGCCATTATTTGGATGGGAGGCCAATAAGGAAGTCCAGGGTCGTGACACGGGGACAGGCAACGGCAACCACCTACCTTTAAGGTCTCTTGCCTTCAAAACCCTACAGGGGTCGCCATCAATGTTCCCGCTAAGCTGTGGAGTCTTGTGAGCAAAAATTATACTTTGTGAGCTACTGGTATTAGAGTTGTGAGCAAGCGATTTGGTTACTGCATAAAGTAGTCTGCTCTGGAGCCATCCTTCCTGAGCCAAGACAAAAATGTGTGAGCCGGAGGCTAAAAAACTGAGCTAGCTCACACTCAGCTTAGAGGGAACACTGGTCACCATAAGTCACCTGTGGCTTGATGGCACTTTCCACCACCACTTTAAAGGAGGTCCAATTAGCACTGCAGCTGCATGTACAAGTAACGCAACCTTCTCTGGGCTTCAGGTAAGTAAGTAGCTGTGTTAGTCCAGTGGCACCTTAAAAACCAGCCATTTCCTACGCTATAAGCTTATGCAAATCAAAGCTCACTTAAGTCACTTTTGTTCTTTCTGGGGTTTCGTTGTAGGTAACAGTTGCCTACTTTGCCCCACAAAAATAGTGACACCAAAAGCCTTCCGAACTGTCGTGGGTAACAGTTGCATACTTTGCCTCACAAAAATAGTGACACCAAAAGCCTTCCGTAACAGCCAGCTTTACCATTGTTAGGGAGGTGCAGAGACATGCAAGAAGCACTAACAGCCTAGTGAATGGAAGCTTACGTATAACTTACCTTGAATTGCCTATGCATTTCCAAAAGCTGGATTCTGCATGCAGTATTATATGGGATATCTTGTGTTCCTGTGGAGTTGCAGTACAAGTCTGACATTACCCCATTTCCTGTCATTGGGTTTATATCCTGTAAGGAGATTAAAGCACCACCAGTATTCCAAAAAGGCAGTCTTGCAACAAAGTAGATGCAGCCTCCTGTATAGTCACTTTATTACTATTGCAATGACCAGTTTCTTAACAGTCTGAAGAGAAGCCCATTTTTCATGGTATGGGTGTTAAAAGTGAGAGGTTTCCACAGTACTCACTGGAAGAACAGTTTGTGCTACTATGAAGATCTTGGGTTTTGGAGAGGTAGCAAAACTCAGGGTTAGTTTTCATAACAGCAGGAAAGAGTTAGTGGCGTACCGTAGATTTTGTCCGGAACAGTATCGGCAAGGACAATTTTCTTCCCCATTTGAAGGCTGTACTGCACCCAAATGAAGAGATACAGATCTATGTTGCTGCAGAAAGACAGGACTCTTGTAAAGTTTGTGGAACACTACTAAATTTTCTGGAGAATCCTCTACTGTAGCACTTTGAGCTTTTACAATGTTAAATATTTGGTGTGGGGGAAGGAAGTTAGATTCTGTATATTACAGTGGGTGGTCCAGCAAGCAAGCTCTAATGGTGGAAGTTCCTAAATTTTAAGAGCTAGAGGGGGTGAACTAAATGCCAAGTTGGCACTGCCACAATGACCCCCCCAAAAAACTGCTGACTTCAAGTCAAGGACCATATAAACTATTCAGAGTGATTTCCACCCCCAGCTAAAGAAAAGTAGAGTACGCAGGTAACTTGGAAGAAGTACGTTCTGACCTTGAAACACTTATCTCTCACTGAACAAGGATTTAGAGAAGCGGGAAAATATCTTCAAGGACACATACTTTATTCAAATACAGCACTGATACGACCACACAGAGAACCTGATAGCACTGAATAAGGTGGCTTTATGTGGCCCAAGTTAATGCGATAACTCTGGCCCAAACAAAAGTGAACATGCCGTGGAGACAAAACCTTTAAATCTGACAGCTTAATTCCCTCCTTCACAGACGACAACTGCAGTCTTGTCAGCTCAAGGGTGCGCGCTAGTCATGGTAACCGCATTGTCACGGTGAGATTCTGCAGTCTGTCTGTTCCACGCCATGCTATACACGGAAGGGACACAAGTCTGATTGCACTATACAGGAGGAGGCTCCGTTCTCAGCTCTGCTCAAAGGGATTGCCTCTGTACAGAACCCTTCATGTGCTCCCAGTTGTTATAGAGCGCATAGAGGCTGGTGAGTGTCAGTCCTGCAATGCCGCCTCTTGCTATCCCACGCAGTCCGCCTGTAGGAGAATAAAAAAGGTAAAGGTTAAGGTTCCCTTGCTCGAAAGCCAGTCGAGTCCGAGTCTAGGGTTGCGGTGCTCATCTCCGTTTCAAAGCCGAAGAGCCAGCGCTGTCCGAAGACGTTTCCGTGGTCATGTGGCCAGTATGAGTAAACACCAAGGCGCACGGAACGCTGTGACCTTCCCACCGAAGTGGTACCTATTTATCTACTTGCAATTTCTTGCTTTCGAACTGCTAGGTTGGCAGGAGCTCACTCCGTCTTGCGGCACACTCGGGTCTCGAACTGCTGAACTATTGACCTTCCACAGCCTGCAGTTCAGCGTCTTAACCACTTGAGCCACCGCAGCTCCTTAGGAGAATAAAAAGATATGCCAATAAGAAGGAACATCAGCCAAGGATCATTTTCTTAAGACTCGGCACTATGGGAGCTTCCGTAAATCCAATGTATAAAGAAAAGCAAGAACATCTCTGCACACTTACCACATCCTGCTTGCGCAAGGATGAGTGAAATAACTGGCATGTACAGTAGCGTTTCTTTTCTGGGTTTTTTAAAAGACGACAACTCGGTTTAAAGGAAAACAGGAATGAACTGAACCTTGGGTAGTATGGATTCCAAACAGATAATGGTCAGAAAGATAAGACAGGAAGTACAGGCCGAACTCCTGAAAACACTAGTTCCTTTCTAACTGCTGTCACACTAGTTTTGTGGCAGCAGAAATAGCTTGCTATGGTATGGTTTGTTCTACTTAGTAAACCTAGTCATTCTGGTATCATTTCAGATATACTGGAGGCAAGTCATGCTAGCAGTTCAACTTTTGCGATCGCAAAGCTGCAGTGACAACGACACTATTGAGCTTCCACTATTTGTACTCATTAAAGCTCCTTAAAAATACACAGTGTGGGATCAAAACTGAGTGTTACAGAAATAATTCCTGAACGCTTCAGTCTACACAAAGAAAAGTAAAACAATTTAAGAAACAAATGCACCAGCAGAGTTTGCTCAGGCAGGTTAAGTTTAACACTGGAACTTTTTAAATAACCAAGATTAAGGAGGCTCTTTTGCCCCAAACACTGCTCAAGTTAAGTCTTGCAGTACTACAGACACTATTAAAAGACCAGGTAAAGCTGAAATTGACTCCTTTTCACTGACCAATATCCCCCATGTCTGTCAGACAAACTTTTTGTAAAACAACAGTCTGTTCCTTGGCCTGTAGCCCAATTCTGAAGCCCCAACACCCAACTGATCCAGAAGGAAGGTGGTGGAGTAAGTACTAAGTCTGCTCTACGAAACCCAGGAACATGTAGTTGCATCTAGCAACAAAAGCTGAGTTACTAGGTCAAGGATGCTTGGGAGCATTTAGCCTAAATGCATTCAAAATGCCCTGTCCTTCCAGTTCTGTTTATCAAATGATAGGGCAAAGTATGCCTCCGCCCCTGCAATCAGAATTCTGCTAGCCTTGGATAGCAACCTGACTTCAGCAAGTCTCACAAAACAAGTGCCGGTCATTATCGCTCCGTGACATACGCAGACATAATGACATACTAGAAAATGGCTTATGCTGGTAGACTGAAATATCTGAAAGCAAGCCTTTTATAGTTTGCTAAACATGCACAGTTTGCTTAGACCCATGGAGCCCAACCTTTTCAAGATGCTGACCCACCATCAAGTCCAAATTTACTTAGCACGTTACCAACTCTAAGCTGTGGAGTCTTGTGAGCAAAAATTCTACTTTGTGAGTTGTGAGTGAGCAATTTGGCTACTGCATAAATTAGTGTTATCCTGGAGCTGTCCTTCCTGAGCTAAGACAAACACGTGTGACCTGGAAGCTAAAAAACTGTGAGCTAGCTCACACTAACTCAGTTTAGAAGGAACACTGCATGGACGTGACCCAACAGGCTGGCCCAAGGTTCTTTGGCACCCTAGGGGAAGTGTGACCTTGGCGCCCACCGGATGCTACTGAGAAACCAGCCAGCACTGCCAGAAGGCACAGGTGCCCCCACTATGAACCCCAATCAAATGGCATTCCAAAGTACACATCCTTTGAAAATGGAGGTTACATTACATTCCACTCCTCCATTACTCCCTAAACATCCCCCCCACCCCAATTCTCAGAAATGCACTCTAGTAGCTGTCAGGACATGGTTTACTTAAGTCTTAACACATGTAGGCAGTAAAGGAAAATACCAACTCATTTATGACATGGAAGGTACTGGTTTCAGAGTCAGGTCTTAAGTCTCCAAAACACAGTCTAAGCCTTCCCTCAAATTAAGACTGACGCTGGTTGTTCCAGGAGCCACTCAGTAGGTTACTGCTTTCCTTTTCAAGGTTCTCATTTGTAAAAAGAGATGTTCCTGGCTGCCAATGAAAGCATGCCCCTCCCGTGTGATGAATCATAAGAAGCATGAACTCTACACATTTTATAGGGATACGCCTCTGCCTGCCACC